AGTCTGGCTTACAGACACCCCCCCCCCCCCATGGAAAGAATAGACCATTTCAAGCTTTTACTGTTGTTAAACAAATGTTGAAACAACTCTATTCAATTAGCATAAAAACAGTATTAAATGTGGATTCTCAGATGATATCAAAATAAATAACGTGGTTTGTTCAGCACTCACTAGATTTGTGTTGTCAGCTGGCAACAAAATATTCAATAAGAAGCATTATCTTGTTTTCAAAGGGAATCATATTTGCTACAAATGTAATTTTAAGTTTTAAGAAATTTATATATATAATAAGGTTGATTATTCATATAAAACTCACATTTTTATAAAATTCAGTTCACTAGTATGCAAGATATATTAAAACTAATATTCTAAAGAATGGAAATAGTATGCTCATGCACTTTGCAAAGTAAAATTAAGTTTGACTACTGTTTATGATTCTGATAATTACAAATGCATTCAGTGTAATCCACAATTGGAATAATAAATTCACACAATTTTTAGGACAACACAATGAAATACTTGATACATTTAAAAATGTACTTGAAACAGACTTACATTTATTCAACACTTTATATTACTGGTGACAAAGAGAGATAATGTTTTGGCCTACATACATTGCTTTGTGTAAAAAATTTCATCTCAAGATTTGAAAATACAAAAGAACACTTGGGGTATGAAAAATTCAGGTTAGGCAAGAGATGTTTTCAAAATTTAGGGTTTTAATGACAAATTTCATCAACAATTATTACATAATATTGCTAACATCATTTATTTACAACATGCCCTTTTAAAATGCATTCCATTTTTAAAAAAATTAAAGAAAAATGCAATTCTCTTGAAAGTCGTGAAAATCATTAAACTTACAACACTGTGAATATTTTGCTAAATAATCCTGCACAACAACATTCACAAAAAGCATCTGTACATTAAAAACTTCAAACAATGTAAAAGGTATCATTATTAAACTTTAGACTGATATCAAAACACTTGGTTTAACATCCTTAATTGTATCATAATCCAAATTCCAACCACAATAGTAGATGTTAGATATATTTTCTCCTTTTATCTCAAAAAGAGTTTTAGAAAATTAGATCATGGATATCTGTCCTTATAAAATGGGTCTGGAAATGAATTACAAGTTTACTTCCTAGTTTGGTTTGGTTGCTGTTAAACACAAAGCTACACAATGGACTATCTGTGCTTTGCCCACCTTATGTACCAAAATGAAACATGTTTTTTAGAGATGTACAACTGAGCCTCTTACTAGGAAGGTAATGAATTGCAAATTAGTAAAGGTCACTTTCTTAGTTTTCTAACTTTCTTGACCCTCATGTTCTGTTTTTTACTTTTTGTCTCATCTGCTTTTTTTCTCAAAAACGAATGATTTTGCATTGTTAGGTACATTATTTCCCATTTCTTCATTTTGCATAACTAAAGTTTAATATCAGATATTCTTTTCTTCACATTCAAGTTTTCCTTATGTTTTAGGATCTTCTATATATATATAAAACAAAAAGAAAAAGCTTTAGTGAAATATGATAATAATAACAGTGATTTTTTATTCTGTACTTTATTCTTTAACAAGATTGATTACATTTTGTTAGTGTCATTGTACACTTACTTTTACATAAGTAATGTTACATAAGATTGGGCAAAACATAAACCTTAAATCAAACAAAAATGATGAAAGGAAGAGAAAGACCATACACATACCTAAAATTAAAATAATATAATTAAATACAACACATGGCCACTTGTGGATAACAAAAGAATAACTGTAATAGCTTAAAAAAGAATTGGGGGGGGGGGGGTAACTGATACCAGAGCATAAATAACGGTGTAAATTATGGAGAAACAGAAGAAAATTGAAATAATGACATAAATCTTTTTAAGTAGATTTGCTAAGTTTCAAATTCAGATACAAAACATTAAAAAAAACATAAACTGTAGCCAGAAATGTAACACTAGTGCAAAACAGTAACCAGAAGAAAAAGGAATTACACAACTACAGAAGTGGTCAGTGAATAAATGAATAAAAGTAAAAAAGATCATAACACAAAAGCCAAAAGAAAAGACTCGAGAGCTGGAGAACAAAATTGAAAATACAAATGCAAAACATAGAACAATACAAGAAAAGACTAGAGAGAGTACCTGAGCCATTATTTTTTGCTGCTGCTGTGGAATACACTTCACAAATTAAAAAAAAAAAGTCAACATATGCAGAAGATTACTGCTGGATTATATGGTGTTACATGAACAAAAAAGCATAAACATGAAATAGAAATTCATAAAAAAAAACAATAAATAATGGCCTTAAAAAGGAAGCAAAGTACACTTGATACCAGTAAAGGAAAAATAAGTCTTTTGAAGATAGAAAATTGTGAATGACATTTCAAACAAACACAAAAAATTACTGTTGAAGAAATCATGCACAAAAGATTTACAAAGTGATGAAGAGGAGGAGTAAAACAGATATTGGTAAATTCACCAAAAAAACTTGTAAACTCTTTTTTACAAATAACACAGAGTGAAAAGTTAAATACAATGTTCAGCTGATCATAATCTTTTGTGTTACTGATAACAAAGCTGAGAACAGAACCAAATGGCATTTCTATTACTATAAACTAGAAAGGTTGGTTTCCTTAAACTTCAATAAATGTGAAAAAATAGACAAGAAAAACAGAAAATGAGTTACAACACATATAAAAAGTATCCCCACTCCAAGAAAAGAATTGCCAGAAAAAAAAAAGAAGCACCACCATAAACTATAATTCCTTAGAAGATCAAAAGAAGTACAAACTATAGTTCCTGAGATGGTCAGTGTTGTTGACAAAAAAAAAAGTCATTCTGTTGTATAAATGTATGCAATGGTTATTTTTAACACTGCTATGTTAAAGAACTAAAATAATGTCTGCTACATGTGGACTATAGTTGAATCATTGCACTTTAGTGGCTTGTGAAAGATAATACAGGTCCAAGTATCAAATACTGTGATTTCTTTTAAAGGTGTTGGAATTCAGAAACTCAGATAATTGACGATGATAGAATAAAAAAAAAAATAAATAAAAAAAATAAAATAAATAAAAAAAAGTAAAAAGTAACTATAAGAAGTAAATAAAGTAAGAAGTAACTTATATAATAAATAAAATAACTAATAGTAAGTAGTAGTAGAGTATATTAGTATAGTATAAGTAATACGTTCGTTCGGATAAGTATACTACTTTATT